TTTTTTCCGTCGGGGATGCAGCCACTCGACGGAAAAAAGAACCTGTTCGGAACGCATATGTATACGTATGCAGCACGCGGCAGGACGCGAGCGGAATTTCCTGCGACACGCGGAGAAATCTCATTTCTCGGTCGACCTCTGCCGATTCCGTCGAACCCCCGACGAAAGAGAACGAGCGCGGTTTAATTGATCGCGGACAAAGCCGTACTCTACCGATCCGTTGACCAATACAGGACATACGAGGTCGTTTCTTCGCCGCAGCCAGCTTCGCTTCTTGCGGCTGACTCGCGAGGAAAACACTAATTAAGACTCCGCTACGGCGCGCCGCCTCGCTTCTACGGACCGGCTTAGGGTTATCACGAAACCGGCAGCCGCTCTCTGCCTCTCTTAACACCGACAAACCCTCTCGAACTTCCATTTCGAGGAATCGCCGAGAACATTTCCTATGTACACTCGGGTTCAACCTACGCTTCCTCTCCTTTCGATAAAGAGGCTCGAACGCTTTTAGATTCTTCAATTTCGATGTTTCATATTTTTCTAGCTTGCATCTTAAGATCAGAAGATATGCTGTTTTTTAAATATTCATATTTTCAAACTACCTCATTTTTTAATTCTTAAAAGACAAAATCTTTAAATCTCCAAATTCTTGAATGCGTATCCTGAGCCCCAGATATGACACCCCTTAAACTACCTAACCAACTACCTAACTACTTCAATTTTTAAACATCAGAATCTTTAGATCTTCAAATCCAAAGGCTACCTCTCTAGATCCCTAAAAATCAATGGCTTCTATCTCTTCGGATTCTCAAATTTCTAAAACCCCATATTCTTAGATTCCTACATTCCTAAATCCCCGGAACAACTTACTTCATCAAATACCTGGGTCATCACAATCCTTAAATTCCCAAATTCAAAAATCCTTAAAAACCCAACTCCTCACATTTTCATATCTCCCAAAAACCTCCAAGAGTCATAGAAATCCCTAAAAATCCTGTGAAACCTCAAAAAGTCCCTAGAAGTCCCGTGCAATCTCAAAAAGTCCCTAGAAGTACCGTGCAATCTCAAAAAATTCTGGAAATCCTGAAATCCTGCAGAATCTCTAGAACTTGTAAAACGTCCCTCTAGTAATTCTCAGAAATCTGAAGCCCCCATAAATTCCCAGAAGTCCCATAAAATCTCTAAAAATCCCCAAAAGTTTCCTACTATCCCCAGAAATCCCCAAAAGTTCAGTAAATGTCCATAAACTTTCATAAATCTCGTAAGATCCCCAGAAATCCTCAAAAGTTTCGAACAACCTCCAGCAACCCTCAAGTTCAGTATAATTTCCATAAATGTCCCATAAAATCTCCAGTAGACAAAAATTGTCTATTACAAAAAATTGTTAGAAATGTATTAGTGAGAGCCTTGTTCGTACTTGGTTAGAATATGTAGTTTAGGGAAAGAGATATTTGTTCTTGACTGTACGAGATCGTGAATATGTACGTGTGTGGTCACCGAGTGACTGGATGGCGTTCGTTGAGACGCATTACAATCGCTGGTATTTGTAGGATACCTGTTTCCGTAGCTGACAATGTACCCTATAGAGGTAGCTGATACTCTTGTTTTCAGACGTAAAAAGTACACTTTCTACTGTTGGGATATGTGCAAATAACAAATAGTTCGGTATGTACGTATGAAGGTAACGAATGAGTAACTTCGTGTCGGGTGATAGGTGCTTAATCGAGTGACCGGGGGAGTTTTTGTTAAATAATTGAGAGATTTGTATATTATAATGTAGGTTGTTGTGTGAAGCAGTAGTTAATTTTGATGAAGTATCTTGTAAGATAACAAGATTGTTAAAAAATAAATCTGTGTGGAGGTATAGATAGATAATTGTTCATACCTTAATAAGTTAACCCTGGTGCACCATTCGGGGCCAAATGGACCTGAAACAGAAATTCAATATTTAACAATTCGTTAATAAAATATCATTCAAAGAAAATTTAGTTTATAAATTGGTCTATAAATTAGTCTATAAATTGATCTATAAATTGGGAAGTTATCTACTACACCCACCACGTAAAATAAATTACCCTATAAATTAATCTATAAATTGGGAAATTATCTACTACACCCACCACGTAAAATAATTAGCACAATTTTATGTCTAATACTTGTAAATTAAAGCATTGAAACGTAAAAATTAAAATTTCCTTCCTTATTATTAGATAACCTCAAAATTATTATAATTCCTCAATGCGCTTGAGAATTTCGCACGAATTCATAATCCGTCAAATTGAATACCCGACTAAATAGCACACCTCCACGGTAATTAGTACCACATTGGTTCTAGCTAATGCTGCGGTTTAAAACACACGACGGATTAATAGTATGATTAATGTAAATGTTATTAATTTGAGGATGTAATTTCACGGTGAAAATCCAATGAAATTCAATATTGAAATTACCTTTGTTAATAGAAAGATAATTACGCGAGTCAATTAAACTTCAATTTGTTCACAATCATTATTCCTGACGTAATTTTCTGCGGAATATATCGTGTACAGAAGCAGTCAAGGAAATCAGTGAACACATGAGGCATCAATCTTTCGATTTAATTAGGTGTTTAATGAGGTTGATTTTAAAACTGCATTCTATGAAATAATCGTGTGTAATAGTGTTGATTGAAATAATCAAAGTTAGCATTAGATATCAAGAAACAATTAGCAGGAATTAATGTCCATAGCTGGAATTAACTATCCACTTGATCTAATGTTTCATTTCTCTAAAATTTGTATCATATATCAGTAACCAATAAACCAATTTAATCGAGTGTATAATATTACTAATTTAAACATCCAAAATTTGCATCACATATCAGTAGCTAATAGCCATCGAATATTTAATACTACACGTTAATTTACGTGTGTAAAACTTCTACGAAATTAATAAATATTTTGATTTAATCGGCCAAGTAAATTAAAGCATTAAAAAATTGGATAGTAAATATTAAATAAAGTATAAAAGGTAGCGTTCCACAAGTTACGAAGAGAGATTCTGACGGGGTTCGATGATCCAGTGTCGAATCCACTTGATACCCTCGAATTTCTTAGCCAAGTGTAGTGGTATTGATCGAGAAAAAGAAAGGTTTCGACTGGCGTCTAGGAAATATGCGGTGGTATCCTTGCAGACACCGTAGCAAGGACGGGAAGACCGTAAGGGGAAATCTTATGGTGCGGCGACGACGTTCCTCGTTGGCACACGGTCGATAGGGCCGCTACTCCACCACCCCACCGTCCTCGCAACCACCGTCATTCCGCCCACCACCATCAGTTTCACCCCTTGGAGAAGCTTTCCGACCGTGCCGGTGCTATCGACCCAACAGTTTTCCGTAAGGACTATACTCGAAATTTCGACGACTTCAAACAACCATCATCGAGCGAATTACATGAAGCTAACATAAATACACTCCGCCGAACCATCTTTGGAAAGACGTTTCCACTGCGGAACTGTATTTCAAGACAACTTCAAGAGTTATACTAACAATTTCTACTCTAACCTACTGTTCTATTGAGTAGCTAATGAAGAACTACATAACCTAATAGCATAACTGACTGGCTAATTTAATACAACCTAACCTATCTTACAATCTGGATGACTTGACCTAATCATCTGGTTAAATCAAACTAACTGTATAACTTAACTTAAATATATTTCTAATTTGATGTAACAACTTAATTCTAATTTGATGTAACAATTTAATACAACCTAACCTATCTTACAATCTGGATGACTTAACCTAATCATCTAGCTAAATCAAACTAACTGTATAACTTAACTTAAATATACTTCTAATTTGATGTAACAACTTAATTCTAATTTCATGTAACAATTTAATACAACCTAACCTATCTTACAATCTGGATGACTTAACCTAATCATCTAGCTAAATCAAACTAACTGTATAACTTAACTTAAATAGACTTCTGATTTGATGTAACTTTACTTACTAATTTAACTAATTTAACCTGACATAACCTAGCTAGGTACACTTATGCAGATCTCATTGACAACTTAACCTAACCTAACCTGGCTTCCCAACTACTTCATATAATCTGAACTAGCTTAATCAAACCTAGCTAAGTAACTAATTAATTGAACTTGACATTTAGCTAACCTGATGAACCTTTTAAGTAATGACATCTATCCAAACTTCTCAGATAACCTAGCTAGGTACACTTATCCAGATCTCATTGACAACTTAACCTAACCTAACCTGGCTTTCCAACTATTTCATATAATCCGAACTAGCTTAATCAAACTTAGCTAAGTAACTAATTAATTTAACTTGACATTTAGCTAACTTGATGAACCTTTTAAGTAATGACATCTATCCAAACTTTTCAGATAACCTAGCTAGGTACACTTATCCAGATCTCATTGACAACTTAACCTAACCTAACGTGGCTTTGCAACTACTTCATGTAATCTGAACAAGCTTAATCAAACCTAGCTAAATAACTAATTAATTTAACTTGATATTTAGCTAACCTGATGAACCTTTTAAGTAATAACATCTATCCAAACTTCTCAGATAACCTAGCTAGGTACACTTATCCAGATCTCATTGACAACTTAACCTAACATAACCTGGCTTTCCAATTACTTCATATAATCTGAACTAGCTTAATCAAACCTAGCTAAGTAACTAATTAATTGAACTTGACATTTAGCTAACTTGATGAACCTTTTAGGTAATGACATCTATCCAAACTTCCTAGATAACCTAGCTTAACCTAGCTTATCAACTAATTAAGTCAATCTGAACTAGTTTAATCAAATCTAACTAATTTAACCTGCAATTCTAACTGATTAACTAACATAATGCAACCTTCTACATAACAACACCTATTCGAACCTCCTAGATAACCTAACCTAACCAATCTGACTTAACTAACTCAAACTTAATCTAATTGGCTAAGTAACTTACCCTAATGTACCTTAATAGACCTGACTGCAGCCATTCAAATCTACTAGTTCCAGAAATAAACATTCTTTTTGCATAATTAATTTGACGAGTAGGTCGACGTGACACAGCGATAGTAGTACAAGGATGAAGAAAAAAAAACTCGTTGCAACACTCCTATAAAATTGAAGCAATTATTCCATTAAGAAGTTCCAAGTATCCGTGACTAAATCCGCGCATTTGAATACCGTTCTCGTTGCTTCATCCTTCGCCTAAGAATACTAATTGCTAATAGAAAATAATAATTGCAAATACGAACGCTTACCAAGTACGAACGAGAGAGAAAGTGTCGGTGTGCGAGAGAAAGATGTTAATGATCATCGGAGCGAGCAGGCGATTGGTAAACGAGCTAGCGAATAAATATACGCTCGAGAGAAAGAGGAAGGCTGAAAAACAGGTGCAAAATATAGGCGGTTGTGCGTGAGAGCGCGTATTAGAGCGGCGGGCAATAAAGTGCAATAAAGATCAGATCGTGAAGAACGGGTGAAAATTCTTTTGCCCAACCCACCTACGTACTGAACATTAATACCGGCTATTTTCTCGGCAATATCCATGTTGCGATAACGGATCAAGATTATGTGACAGAGTGGACGGTCAGGTGACAGCTACAGATTCTAAATCTTCATATTGTCGCTTCGTATCTGAACTACATTCTTATCGGACTTCGAAATCCTCTAATGCACTAAATTTATTGGATTCTCTCAGTACTAAATTCCCAAACTGGTTATCCACATACTGAAAATTTCTTAATAATACAATTTTTAAATGTCTATATGAAATCAGCAAATTTTTTGATTTTACAAATTCTTAATTCTCAAACAACTAAATTTGCAAATAATTTCTGAATGATAAGATTTTAAAAATAAAATTTTTAAATGTCTATCTGAAGTCATCAAATTTCTTGAATTTCCAAATTCTTAATTCTCAAACAACTAAATTTGCAAACAATTTCTAAATAATAAAATTTAAAAAATAAAATTTTTAAATGTCTATCTGAAGTCATCAAATTTCTTGAATTTCCAAACTCTTAATTCTCAAACAACTAAATTTGCAAATTCCAATTTTCACACCCCTACATTTGCAAATCCCAATTCTCAAACCCTTAAGTCTTCAAAGCCTTAAATTTCTAAATCCAAATTCTCAAATCCCTAAATTTTCAAATCCCAAATTCTGATAACCCTAAATTTCCAAATTTCCTAAATTCCCAAACCCTTTTCCCAAATCCCCAATCTCCCAAATTTCCCAAATTCCAAAATTCCCAAATTCTCACACCCCTACATTTCCAAACCCCAAATTCTCACATCTCTAAATTTCCAAATTTCCTAAATTCACACATTCTCTTCCCAAATCTCCAATTTCCCAAATTTTCCAAATTCCAAAATTCCCAAATTCTCACACCCCCAAAATTTCCAAACCCCAAATTCTCACATCCCTAAATTTCCAAATTTCCTGAATTCACAAACCCTCTTCCCAAATCCCCAATCTCCCAAATTTCCCAAATTCTCACACCCCTAAATTACCAAACCCCAAATTCTCACATCCCTAAACTTCCAAACCCTAAATTCTCACATCCCTAAATTTCCAAATTTCCTAATTTCCCAAACCTTCTTCCCAAATTTCCCAAATTCAAAAATTTCCAAATTCTCACACCCCTAAATTTCCAAACCCCAAATTCCCACACCCCTAAATTTCCAAATTTCCTAAATTCCCAAACCCTCTCCCCAAATCCCCAACCCCTCAAATTTCCTAAATTCACACCACCACAATTCCCCAAACTAAAACCCCATAACTCACCCCATAAACCATTCCACTCAACACTAAACCCAAACCATCTCTTATCTCCCCACAATTTTTATCTGAACCCAAAGATAAGAAAAATCTAATTACCAGAAAATCCAAGAATAGACTTGCCACAGATCG